GCCCCTCACGAGGATCGCGCCCGCTTTCTTCCCTTCTTCTCCTACCTCTTTGCACGCGCATTCCAAAGTCCAAAGCTGCGGGCGCAGTGCGGCGCGGAGTCCCCGCGACGCGCGCCGGGCTCCCCGGAAGGGTCCCAGCGACGCGCGCGGGTCGTCCGCTGCGCGGAGCAAAGAGAGCCAGCTAGCTAGCTAGCTAGCTAGCTAGCTAGCTAGCTGGCTGGCTGGCTGGCTGAAGCGGGTAAATCTCTGACCGTTGGGCAGAGCGACGACGGGCGAGCGAGGCGCATGCGGGCGGTGGCACTGGGGCCTTCGGTGGAGCTCCCTATGGGGCCACGAAGCGTTTGAGGGGTGTGCCGAAATGCGTGTGGGGGGCGCATGCGGGCGGTGGCATTTTTTTGGTGGAGCTCCATGTGGAGCTACGAAACTTGTGAGGGGTGTGCCGCAATGGGTGTGGGGGACGCATGCGGGCGGTGGCACTGGGGCCTTCGGTGGAGCTCCCGATGGGGCCACGAAGCGTGTGAGGGGTGTGCCGAAATGCGTGTGGGGGGCGCATGCGGGCGGTGGCATTGGGGCCTTTGGTGGAGCTCCCTATGGGGCCACGAAGCGTGTTAGGGGTGTGCCGAAATGGGTGTGGGGGGGGCGCATGCGGGCGGTGGCATTGGGGCCTTCGTTGGGACTTCCTAAGAAACCACGAAACGTGTTGGTAGTGTGCCGAAATGTGTATGGGGGACGCATGGGGGGGGGAGAATGGGGCCTTAGGTGGAGCTCCCTGTGAGGCCACGAAATTTTTGAGGGGTGTGCCGAAATGGGTGTCGGGGACGCATGCGGGCGGTAGCACTGGGGCCTTCGGTGGGACTCCCTATGGAACCACGAAGCGTGCGGGGGGTGTGCCGAAGTGGGTGTGGGGGACGCATGCTGGCGGTAGCGCTGGGGCCTTCGGTGGAGCTCCCTATGGGGCCACGCAATGGCACTGGGGCCTTCGGTGGGGCTTCTTATAAGGCCACGAAGCGTGTGAGGTGTGTGTGTGTGTGTGTGTGTGTGTGTGTGTGTGTGTGTGTGTGTGTGTGTGTGGTGGGGGGGGAACGCATGCGGGCGTGGCTTGGGGCCTTCGGTGTAGCCCCCATTATGGGGCCAAGGAACGTGTCAGGGATGTGCAGAAATCGGTGTGTGTGTGTGGGGGGGGGGGGGGGGGGGGGGGGGGCACGTGCGGGGAGCGGTGGCACTGGGGATTTCGGTGGAGCTCCCTATGGGGCCACGAAGCGTGTGAGGGGTGTACCGACATGGGTGATGATGTTGGTGATGTTGACGGTTGTGATGGTGATGATGATGATGATGATGATGATGATGATGATGGTGATGATGATGACGATGATGATGATGATGATGATGGTGAGGATGATCATGACGGCGATGCTGATGATGATGACGCTGATGGTGATGATGATGATGACGATGGTGATGATGACGAGGAGAGAGGAAGGGGGAGGAGGAGGAGGAGAGGAGGAGGAGAGGAACGCGGGGCGACGCCTCTTCAAAACGACGACCCAACACCACAGGATGGTTGGGAAAACACATCATGCGTAGCACCCCGCAGATGCGGGTAAGAGTGATGGGGGCGGTGGGGATTCCAGCAGTTTGCGAGACTCTGGTGAAACCCGCCGCAGACGCCAAAATTCCACAACTTATGCAGCGAGCCCGCGGCAGGCGCCGATTTTTTCGGCAAAGCAATGTGGGTAGATTGCAGGTGGGTCGCAAGTGGGTCGCGGGTGGATCGGTGTTGGGTTGCTGTTGGGTCTCGGGTGGGTCGCGGGTATAGAGGGCTGAAGAATCACCCCATACGAATTACCTCGACAAGCGAAGCCGTTTAGTAAACGCACACAAGGAATGAATCGAACAGGGCAAGGCCTCTTAGTCATTGCCCAGGGCCGTTTAGTAAACGTCAAATGTCGAATCCGGGTGATCCTTCCTCCCGTGAGGATGGGTCGCGGGGTGGGTCGCGGGTGGGTTGCGGGGTGGGTCGCGGGTGGGTCGCGGATGGGTCGCGGATGGGTCGCGGGGTGGGTCGCGGGTGGGTCGCGGGGTGGGTCGTGGTTGGGTCGCGGGTTGATTGCGGGTTGGTCGCAGGGTTGGTCGCGGGTGGCTCGCGGGGTGGGTCGCGGGTGGGTCGCGGGCGGGACAACAACAACAAACAAAAGCAACAATAACAATAACAACCCCAATAACAACAACATCAGCAGCAACAACAACAATACCAATAATCATAGTAACAACAACAAGTGCAACAACTACAATAAGTTTACCCTCATGCGCGATGTTTCCACACGAAGCATGCGACCATCATGATAACCATCCCCATCATGGGGGACTATTGTTCTATAGAGGGGTCCGTTATTCCCAGTCGCAGAATCCCGCCCAATAAGGTCTTGCAAACAACTCCTCCGAAGAATTTCAACATACCCCGCCTCGAAAACGCATGCCCGCGCCTTGCTGCGCCCATGCGAGAACGCCAGTGGAGCCCCAGCCAAGGGTAAAACACAAGGCATTATCGAGCGACAGGATTGCCTTGGTGGGGATGGGGGCTGTCGGCGGCGAGGCAAGGACCTGGCCCTAAATCGAAAGGGCGGAAGTCTCGAGCAGGGCCGCTGTTGTTGCGGGGGTGCAGCGCCAATGCTGAAGAGAGTAGGGCGGTAGTCCAGCGAACAACAAAACGAGGTCTCGAGCGGGAGTGTTTGTCGGGGCGGCGGTTGTCGGCGGCGAGGAGGAACACCGCCTTGAATAAGAAGGGGGGTAGTCTCGAGCGGGAGCCGTGGTTTTGTCGGGGCGGGGGCTGTCGGCGGCGAGGAACAGCACCGTCCTGAGGAAAAAAGGGGATGCCTCGAGCGGGAGCGTTGTTCTTGCTGGGAGCGGCGCCAATTCAAAAGAGAGTAGGGCGCCAGTCCAGCGTACACCGGGAGGAAGTCTCGGGCGGGAGCGCTGGTTTTGTCGGGGCAGCGGTTTTCGGCGGCGAGGAGTGGCACCGCCTTGAGTTAAACAGGGAGGAAGTCTCGAGCGGGAGCGTTGTTGTTGCTGGGGGCGGCGCCGATGAGAGAAAGAGTAGCGCGCCAGTTCAGGGTAGAACGGGAGGAAGTCTCAAGCGGTAGCGTTGGTTTTGTTGGGACGGCGCCTTTCGGCGGCGAGCAAGAGCACCGGCCCTGAGCAAAACAGGAGGAAATCTCGAGCGGGGGCGTTGTTGTTGGTGGGGGGCCGGTTTTGGCGACCCCCCTAAACCGCTCGAGTTTGGGCCTCACTTTCAATCCAAATGTTGCCGGTGCCGTGGCGAGAGCGTTAAAGCGCCGGGGGGGGTCCAACAATAATAATTGTTTAGTAGGTAACAGTCAACACCAATAACAACAATAACAACGCAACAAACATAGTTCTAACCACACATTCTTTATTCAGCCACGCGCGCAGGGACAACGAATGACCGTTCGGCCCCCTCACTTTGATATACATGTATAGAGATAAATAAATCATAACACGTGTGAATACAAAAGGGTATTATACATCTGGCAAGTTTACTTGCCTGGTGCTCGCCCCACTACCCCCCCTCGCCCCTCTTCAAACGAAAACTAGCGTGCAAGTGGCTCTCGACTTTTGTGATATCCGCACGTGCAACTCGTTTGCAGCCTGCTTCAGGTTCAGCACCCCCCCCCCGTCCATGCTCCCAGACCCCCTGGAGTCATGCAGGGATCACGATGGAAGGTTTTTTGCTGGTCTCGGCCGCAGGGGGGCCCTTCCGGGGATCGGCGAGCTTCAAAAACATATCCAGGATGAAAAAAGGAGCGGTCCCAGGCATGCCAGACCCCCTACGTCATGATTATTTTATGACGTCGACTCTGGAGGTCTCAACCCACTCCCCAGGACCAGTTTTTCATCCTGAGTAATTGCATGTTTGTTGGTCCCGAGGCGCGGTAAAGGCCCCAAGAGGCCCAGCACAGCGGCAAACCTCCCGTCGTGCTGTTTTGCCCCTGCCGAGGGGGTCTGGGAACGGGCCGAGACCTCGGGGGGGTCGAAGCTCCGAACAGAGTCCAGGCGTCGTGGTCCGGGACCCGCGGTCCTCGACGCTCGGCCCTCGAGCCGCGAGCCTCGAGAGCTCCATGGGGCCCCGCGCATCGGCAGAGGCAGCGGGCGGCCTGCCAGAATCTGGCAGACCCCAGCTCGCGCTGCAACTTCGGGGGGGCCTCGTCGGTTCGGTGTGCGTGTGTGTGTGTGCGTGTGTGCTCATCGCCGCCCACCAAACCACCCTAGCCCAACCCGAGGGCCCCGATATGGCCTCCATTTCCAGAGGGGGGGTGGTCGGGGAGCATTGACAAAAACACATCTGGAGCTCGTACCCCCCCCAACCAGAGATTCGGGTCTAATTCAGGTCTTCGGGTTGGGTTGGGGTGTTCTGGTAGGTAGTCAGCTCATGGGAGCCTTGGGCGGCGGCACTCGAACCAGTGTTTCCTGTGTCTGGGCCGCACTCGGACCTCATTCGGCCCTGCCTCCTGCCCCCCCCTCATCACCCTTGTCTGCATCTCCTCCCCCTCCTCGCTTCCTTCTTGCGGAGGGCGGCTCCGGTCCAGATCCGGGCACCACTGTGCTCAAGTCCGGCCCAGACCGGGACCAGATCGGACCGCGAGATGCCGGCCACGCGCAGAGGGGGGGAGGGGGAGGGGGGAAGGCTTCTTAGAAGCACCACTACTTCTTAGAAGGCGCAGGCCTTCTCTCTGCAGATGTAAGGCTGCGCCTTCTAAAGAGCAGCCCTCTTCTAAGAAGCCTTCCCCCCGCCCACCCTTCCCCGTTTGTCCGAGCATATTCTTCGGGTGGAGGGCAGAGGGTGAAATTTGAAATGCCGTTTCGATGGATCTTCGAGGCTTGAATCTGCAAGCGGTGAATCACAAGACGGCTTGATCTTCGAGGTGCGGAAGCCCATATGGATTTCACCCCGAGCCCTCCACCCTAAGAAGATGCTCAGTTTGTGCGCGCCGCCACAGATCGGACCGCGAGGTGGGCCGCGCATGGGGCTTCCACGGGCCACGGCCACCAAGCGCGGGGCGACGACCCCAGACCCTCAACGTCTTCGTAGGGCGGGGGCAGCGTGCGCTCGTGCCCGGGGTATGGGATCGAGGCGGGCGCGGTGGGGGTGCCCCAATGCTCTTCTTGCTTTTTCGTGCGTGTTCTCGCGCATCCCGGAGGAGAGCACCCTCGAATGCTCTTGAGCTTGGGCCGGCGGAGGGTCTAATGTTCTTGAAGGATGTTCTTCTGGCCTGGGTCCGACCGTAAAGCGTTCCTGGCCGTTCCTAGCTCCGACCCTGGTTTGCCGACTTTTCTTGCCGTTGCCGTCTGGAAGTTGGACGGTCCAGTCTCGTGGGAAGTTTGCAGAGGCAAGTCGCGTTACATGTCAGATTGGGTCTCGTCATTTTCTTGACGACCCCGTCTGAGTCCCCAGAACCCGAGTCTCTCGTCTCCCCGATGAGGTCCTGCCGCCGCAATACGTTCAAGTCGGGCGTTTTCGCGTGCTTTCAGGCCCCAAGACACACACACACATCGATGCGGTTCGAAAATTGGCGCAGAAAGATAGAGTTTAGAGTTCCTGTCGTGAGTTATGACGATGTTTCAAGTGTTCGCGACGTCGGATCTGCTCATGGGATAGGTGGGCTAGAGGTGGATGCTAAGGCTTAGTGGGGTAACGAATTGTGCTAAGAGTGTTCCGGCCACTTAGCGAAGGCATCCAGTCCCACGAAGCCCTTTGAGGCTTGTACAACCCACTCAGAAGCAAGGTTAGGCCAGCCATGACCCTGCTTGGCATCCAGATGCAGCCAAAACGCTGGACGAAGGACCGCTCTGGCTTCGGAAGGGGCCCGCTGTTTCTGAGGGCCGTGGTTGTTTCTCGAAGCCTTCTCGTGCACGCAGGCGCTTCTGTCAAGCAGTGGCGAAGCTTCCTGGCTGGCCTATAGTATAGGCCTACCAAAGAATGTTCTAAGAACATTATGGGTTCTGCAAGACATGTTCTTAGAGCATTTCTGGCCAGGACTGGCTTGTTTTTACACGTCGGGGTTATGCTATAAGAGCATTGTGCGTGTTATTGGAGCGTGTGGGGGTTCTAAGTACATGTCGTGGTAGGCCTATAGGAATGCTGGGACGGTCGGTCCCTGCTCAATTTTGGAGAGCCAAAGTGGGGCTTCGTTCCTCATTCGCCCGCGTGTTTTGTTCTCGCGACGGCAGGATGTCAGCGGGGGGGCGAGGAGGAGGAGGAGGAGGGGGCTCCCGACGTCGCCAGAGGCTCTGCGCGGCAGTGTTTGGCCGCAGTTTTTCGGGAGCCTCTCCTCGCCAGGCCCCTTTGCAACCATCAGAGATTGTTTGGCGCGGGGTCCTTCTTCTCCTCCTCCTCCTCCTCCTCCTCCTCCTCCTCCTCCTCCTCCTCCTCCTCTTCCTCCTCCTCCTCCCTCTCCTCCTCCTCCTCCTGCTCCTCCTCCCGGGCCAGCGCGGGCCCGACTGGGGCGCCGCACCGCGACCCCGGCGTGGCCGCGGGGGTCAGTCGGGCATGTCCCTCTACAGTAGGAGCACTTGAGAAGAGTCAGAAAAGAATTACACCAGAGGAACCCCAAGCAGTGGATGGTCTTCGCGGAGGAGATCGACCAGGAAACCCGGAGCCCGGGAACCCAGAACCCACCGAAGTCGGCCTGGAACCAACAACCGGGATCCCGGGAACCCGGAACCTTGAATCCGGGAACCCAGCTTGCTAACAAAATCGGCGGGAAAGCTTCGCCAAATCATTCATCTTCCGTTAGGACCCCTTCAATGCAAGCACGGATTGGGGAATGTGGGGACGATGTTTCGACTATTGTTGATGTTTTTGTTGCAGATGGTTTGACTGTTTCTTAGCGTTCGTCCAAAATCCGCCTGTAGGAGGACATGCCCGACCGAAACCTAAATGTCGCCGCGCCGTTTGTTCCGATTCGCGGCCTTGCGTCTTGTGAGGGCTCCGCGGCCACCAGGGCAAACTCCGCTTAGGACACGGGGCTTGCCGTGGGTTGCCGTGGCGCCTGCTGCGCCTCCTTGGGTGCGGGACGCAGGGCTTGCCGCGGGTTCGCCATGGTGTCGGCGTCGTCCACGTGGGCGCGTCGAGAACAAACGGCGCGGTGACTAATGGGGGGTGAAGAAAAGGGCCCTAAAGGGCCCCTTTAGTGTTCTCCGCCCCTCATTTAGGTCCCCCCCCCATGATCACGCGCCCGAGAACGAGTCAGGAAACCGAGCCCTGCGCCGCGGAGAAGTTACAGGTTTAGGTGTTCGGTCATGTCATGGACTTTGCGTTAAACGCAACTATCTAGCGTTCGCGTCGAAGACCGCCGAAGACCGTCAGAAGACCGCGTTGAAGATCGCCGACTACCGTCCGAAGGCTGCCGAAGACCGCCGAGGTAGGCCCAGGAGCGAGCGGTAACAGGGGGTCCACGGTCAAACGCGTGCTCCAGACCTCCAGGGACCCCGCGTGGAGACACTCAGGCCTTCGGAGGTCTGAGGCGGGTGGCTGGGATGCTCTATAATAGGGGGGTCGTCGAGGAGGGCGTCTCCCCCCCCCCCGCCCTTCCCCTGCACGCCCTGCGCCTCGGAGGCAGCACTTCGGGCGCAGGTCGGTGCGCGCAGGGAGCGCAGCCAGGCGTCTGTGGAGGCCGCGGTCGCCCCGGACGGCCGCCCAGAGGCCCGAGTCGCAGCCCCGAGGCCGACCGCCTCGCGCCGTGGAGGAACCACGACGGAGGGTGCTCGGCAGGTCTCGGCGCTGGGGGCCCTCGCTGGGCCCCTGGCCCGCCCTCTGGGGCGCCCGGCTGCGAACAGGAGATTGCTGTTGCCAGGGTCCGGCGACGACCTGGGTCATCGGGCTTGCCCCACCTCCGCACCCCCCAGGACAACCTGGCCTTGCCCGTGGTGCAGGTCCGGGGTGGGGGGGCGCGGGCCTATGCAGGGTTGCCCACAGCGCGGAGGATAGGTTATCGGCCGGCCCCCTCCTCCCCCCACCCCCCCACGGATAAGCGGGGTTATCGCCGATTCGAAACGGTATCCAAAAATCGAGCAAGTCGGATGTCTGGGGAGGGTCTCGGTTTCGCTGTTGGTGAGGTCGGTGGTCGGTTGTGGTGGCGCCCTGGACGAACCTGGAAGGGGGGGGGCCAGGGTTGCCTGGAGACCATGGCCGGGGCCACATGACGTCTCCCAGATGCCCCACCCCTCTCCTCTGCTCTTTCGCGTCATACGTCCCCTGCTGCCCCCCCCCTCTCGTCCGCGCACGTGCCTCGGTCCATGATGCGCTAATACCCAGCCTCCTTATTGGCAAGAGTTGTATCTGTATCCACTGCATCTTGGATTGTCGTGCTCGCTTCCCCAGAAGCCAGAGGCGCCCAGTGGATATGGATAACCATATGGCCCCTAGAGGTGCGCCGTTTATCCACATCCGCTGCGCCTCGGCCTTTTTGGCGCCCGTTCCCAGAAAATCCGAGACGCGGAGGATCTGGATACATCCATTCGGCCAGCATTCCCGGCCTCCTCGGCGCACCCGAATCCATGTGCGTGCCCTCGCGGGCAGGATGCCGAGGCGCGACCACGTGGATGCGCGACCCCACGGATACGCTCCGCGCCGCACCTCGCAGCCTCGTGACCCTGGATCCGTGGGGTCGCGGCCTGGTGAGTCTGGGGCGCGAGGCCGTGGGTGTGCATACGGTCGGGAACTTCTTCATGCATGTGGAGCCTCAGGGGATGGATGGATGCGCGCGGATGTGCACACGCCAGCCTTTGAAGGCAGGTTTTTCTGAAATTCCAGATCCCAATCTACTTTGAGGGCATTTTTGCTTCAAGAGTCGATCAGTCTGCTTTTGCTGTGTTTCGTTATTCTCTCGGAGGGCCTGAACCCGATCTACTGGATCCACCTTCCTACTATTTACCTAACAGCGAAGACTGGTAGGTTTCTAGTGGTCTAAAAAGAGAGCAGCACATTACTCCACAGGGGGGTCTGGGCAGCCGTTGGGGAGCCGTTGGGGTTTTCCGGGGGGGATCGTTTTTTGCATACGGTCACACACTTCGTGCTTTTCGATTTCCCAGAACTCCATTCCCGGGCCACATTCTGAATGCCCGGAGCCAACTGTACGCCACTTCGTGCTCTTCGACTTCCCAGAACTCCATTCCCGGGCCACATTTTGGATGCCCGGAGCCAACTGTAGGCCACTTCGTGTTCTTCGAGTTCCCAGAACTCCATTCCCGGGCCACATTTTGAATGCCCGGAGCCAACTGTAGGCCACTTCGTGCTCTTCGAGTTCCCAAAACTCCATTCCTGGGCATGATTTTGAATGCCCGGAGCCAACTGTAGGCCACTTCGTGTTCTTCGAGTTCCCAGAACTCCCTTCCCGGGCCACACTTTGAATGCTGAGGCAGGCTGATGCTGAGGCTGAGGCAGGCTGAGGCTGAAGGCAGACTGAAGCTGAGGACGAGGCTGAAGGCAGACTGAGGCTGAGACTGAAGCAGGCTGAGGCTGAGGCTGAGGCAGGCTGAGGCTGAGGCTGAGGCAGGCTGATGCTGAGGCAGGCTGAGGCTGAGGCTGAGGCTGATGCAGGCTGAGGCTGATGCAGCCTGAGGCTGAGGCCGAGGCTGAAGGCAGACTGAGGCTGAGGCTGAAGCAGGCTGAGGCTGAGGCTGAGGCAGGCTGAGGCTGAGGCAGGCTGAGGCTGAGGCTGAGGCTGAGGCTGATGCAGGCTGAGGCTGAGGCAGGCTGAGGCTGAGGCCGAGGCTGACGGCAGACTGAGGCTGAGGCTGAGGCAGGCTGAGGCTGAGGCTGAAGCTGAGGCAGGCTGATGCTGAGGCAGGCTGAGGCTGAGGCTGAGGCTGATGCAGGCTGAGGCTGAGGCAGCCTGAGGCTGACGCCGAGGCTGAAGGCAGACTGAGGCTGAGGCTGAAGCAGGCTGAGGCTGAGGCTGAGGCAGTCTGAGGCTGAGGCTGAGGCAGGCTGAGGCTGAGGCTGAGGCAGGCTGATGCGGAGGCAGGCTGAGGCTGAGGCTGAGGCTGAGGCTGAGGCTGAGGCTGAGGCTGAGGCTGATGCAGGCTGAGGCTGAGGCAGGCTGAGGCTGAGACCGAGGCTGAAGGCAGACTGAGGCTGAGGCTGAAGCAGGCTGAGGCTGAGGCTGAGGCAGGCTGAGGCTGAGGCAGGCTGAGGCTGAGGCTGAGGCTGAGGCAGGCTGAGGCTGAGGCATGCTGAGGCTGAGGCCGAGGCTGAAGGCAGACTGAGGCTGAGGCTGAAGCAGGCTGAGGCTGAGGCTGAGGCAGGCTGAGGCTGAGGCTGAGGCTGAGGCAGGCTGATTGCGAGGCAGGCTGTGGCTGAGTGCTGAGGCTGATGCAGGCTGTGGTTGAGTCAGGCTGAGGCTTGGGCGGAGGCCGACGGCAGACGGGCTGGGCTGAAGCAGGCTTGAGGCTGAGGCAGAGGCAGGCTGAGGCTGCGCTGAGGCAGAGGCAGGCCTGATGCTGAGGCTGCTGTGGCTGAGGCTGAGGCTGATGCAGAGCTGAGGGTGGGTCAGCTGAGGCCTGAGGCCCAGGCCGACGGCAGACTGAGGCTGAGGCTGAAGCAGGCTGAGGCTGAGGCAGAGGCAGGCTGAGGCTGAGGCTGAAGCAGGCTGAGGCTGAGGCAGGCTGAGGCTGAGGCTGAGGCTGATGCAGGGCGAGGCTGAGGCAGGCTGAGGCCGAGGCTGAAGGCAGACTGAGGCTGAGGCTGAAGCAGGCTGAGGGCGAGGCTGAGGCAGGCTGAGGCTGATGCAGGCTGAGGGTGAGGCTGAGGCAGGCTGAGGCCGAGGCTGAAGGCAGACTGATGTTGAGGCTGAAGCAGGCTGAGGGCGAGGCTGAGGCAGGCTGAGGCTGATGCAGGCTGAGGCTGAGGCTGAGGCAGGCTGAGGCCGAGGCGGAAGGCAGACTGATGTTGAGGCTGAAGCAGGCTGAGGGCGAGGCTGAGGCAGGCTGAGGCTGAGGCAGGCTGAGGCTGAGGCTGAGGCAGGCTGAGGCTGAGGCTGTGACTGCGACTGCTGTTGCCACTGCGACTGCTATCGCGAATGCGACCACGACTGCGAGAACAGCATAATTCTACAACAGGATTCTTATCTGAATCTTAAGGGGAATGCTTCCAGATATGCTCCTACACATCGCTGTTAGGTTGCTTTGCCGGGATATTTTTTTTACTTGTTCCCTGGGAATGCCTGAACCCGATCTACTGGATCCGCCTCCCTGCTCATTTTGTGACCTACTTCTTCCGACCGACGTGTAGGCTCAGGGGGGGGCACGTCGACATGGAGTTGGCGACACACCGCCGACAGATCGGCGACAGGCCCACGATGGGAGATCCGCACGCCTCTGGGCGGGGTGGGGCTATCGGGCCCCTGTCGGCAATCGATGGGCGCCTGGGAGCCGACGCGTGCCCCCCACAGAGCCTGCGGTCGGGAACTCAGGTTTGGCGTGTCGCGTCGGAGCGTATAGCGTGTCGCTCCGCGGGGCGGGAGGCTGGGAGAGGCTGGGGACGTCGACGCTCGGCAGTGAGGGCGTGGGTGAGCGTGTCGTGCCGACGCGTGGAGGGACGGGGCCAGCGGCGCCACAAGCTAGGCTCAAGTTTCGGGTTTGCGCAGGCGTGACCTTCGGCTGGAGCGACCTTCGATGCACCGGGGCCCCCGGCTTGTGGAATTCGAGGCGGTAGCAGCGGCCTGCACGCTCCGGTTCGGCCTCCCCGCGGCCCCCGAATAAGCGCACCAAAGGTCGCCCTTGCTTACCGTGGAAGACCATGCCAAGAAACACCCTGCTTGCCTCCAGTGTGCCTTGGGTGTTCTTGGGCTTCGATGGCTTTGCTGGGAACATCGTGAAGCTCCCACACCAAAAGTCAATGGACGCCCTGGGGTCTCAAGGTTGGGTTTTTTGTGGTCGAGCTCCTGCTGTAGGAGCACTCTTGCTGGGCCTGTTTTCCACCACCACCACCATACGTTGGAGGGGGGAAGGAGGTGGAGGATGAGGAGGAGCAGGAGAAGGACGAGGAGGAGGAGGGCCTCCCCCTCCTACTCATGGTGGTGGCGGTGGAAAACACGCCCACCAGCTCTGGCTTGTGGCCGAGAGTCTCTGTCTGTGTGTCTTCCGCCCGCGAGGCCCGGCGGCAGGGTCGCCGCCGCGGCCGCCGCCGACGAGTTCGTGACGGGCAGGCTCACGTTCCAGGGCGCAGACGTGCCCCGGGGCCTGAAGAGCGACGGGAGCGTGGGCATGCAGGACTCGAAGACGTGCAAGCGTGGGCCAGGGGAGCGACGAATGACACAGACATAGAAAACCTCCGAGGTCCGCGCGGATTTCTCGGACCCCCGCTGGATGCCCCTCCCTGGCGCGCGGAGCGCGGCGGCAAGGGGTGGCGCCGGAGGAACCGCCAGGGGGCTCCAGCGACGATCCGAGAAATCCGCGCGGACCTCCGATGTTTAATGTTTATG